CGATCGTACAAAACTTGGAAATAACAAAAATTAGAAACATAAAACGTAATTATCCGAAGGTATATATATACGACAAAATCAATACGTACTTCTCCGGGTATATAATATAATATCATCAGCTATTATCAAATCGATCGAAAGTCAACCGAAACTGGTGAAACCGAATTGAAAACGTACCCGTCGATTGATTTTATTATTGCCAAACGAAATAGTTTTTAAATCGATTTGAGAATATTAGGCCATACGAGATACCTATATACAGACGTACGTAGGCGGGTAAAACATAAAATGAACTAGAAAAACGTGAAAAAAAAAAAATCAAAATTAATGTTTCAAAACTGCAGAGTTCATCACTATAATATTATTGTTACGCTACAATTCGATTTTTGCCGAACTACCTATAATAGGTACCGATAAATATAATTAAATAGGAATTATACCTACCTATACATAATTTCTACTGTTATTTTTTATAAAACAAGCAATAGGAAAACAAAATGCATAATTTACCAATATGGGCACTATACGCTCGCATCATTTGAAATTTGTGTTCGGCATATCCGCAGTGTTCCGGCGGGTTTCAAAGATCCGTGCGGCTAATGGATTTCTTCCGTCTAGTTTTAAACCGCAGTCTACGCTGCACCACCTGGGTGTATAATGTTAGGTACAGATACCTCCGTAAAATGAGTGTTATCGTGAATCTTTATTGTTATGCTCGCGTCGTGTTTTTTTTTTTTTCATACTCCGTATAATCACGTTGTCGTCGTCATTCGAGGACTCAAATAATAATTAATGGTAATATTCGGTAGACGTTATGGTATTAAAGCTGCACCGCGGACAACGTCTGTCGCGCGAAAAATTTAAAACTATAAAGAGACCCGCGGTACCCGTAGGTACGATACGACGACGCGGTGTTCACGTATCCGCAGCGATATTGTCAGCGGGCACGCGACCTTGGGCTACGGGCGTGCGCATGGACACGACGTGATACCTGTTTATTAAGTATGTCTTATTGTTTATTATTATACTTCGCTCGGAATAAAAATATAGTTCCGAACGATGTACATTCAGTCCGGAACAGGGCCTGACTAATGGATTTTCCACCGGTAGCCCGGGATGTCTATAAATAGCTCAAAAAATTGCCAGAATTACCACGTCTAAAAAAAAGCTAATATAAATATCATGTGAAAGTTTTAAATTTCTATTTTCAACCGAAGTACAACAAGAAAAGAGCCGTATGTTAATGGTGCACTACCGTTATAGGTGAAAAGTTAGGAAGCCAGGAAGATAGTTGGAATACTTCATAATTTATGTCTGTAAGCAATGTAAACTATTAATAACGAAATATATATAAATTTAATTTTGAGCGGATTTCAGTTAAACATGTTTTGAAGTACCACATTCCACATATGGCACGTATAAATATAATATTTACGATTTTCATCAAAATTTGATATTTAAAACAATTATAAACAAAAACACTACGCTCAACAATTTTTTTTTTTAACACCAAGTACAACTTATAAAGACTCCGTGTTAAATGTTCAACAAGCCCGTGTGTGTTGAACGCGTCCTGTCCGCGGCGCCGCCCTCGTCATGTAATATTCACAGATCTTACTACGAGTGTTGAAAAATGGTCACGCGGTACCGTTGGGCGGACAACCCGGGTAGTTCTACGAGAACAACCGCCAGAACCCATCACGGCTGTCCCAAACGCACACAAATTGCCTGACCTCCGGAAAAAATTTTTTGCAACTTTTTTCTAAATATTATTTTATTTTCATCAAGATATTTTTTTTTTTTTTTTTTTATAACGGTTACAAAAACTCACGACAATGGTAAACATTTTTGAAAATCCATTTTATAGATACCAAATGTAATCATTTTAAAAATAATGTCATTTTCCGCATAGTGTTCCCAAACAATATCTATTTAAATTAAAAACTGTATTAACTTCTGCATGTTTGGCCAAAATTAAAATTCACAAGTCAGGTACACAAAATACAAATATAGGTACAACACATGATGAAATATTCAAATTTAAAATAAATAAAACAGCCAAAAATCCAATACGTCAAATAAAAATCAAATAATATAATAATTTAGGTACCTATACTATAACACTTGCGATCAACAGATTTATTTCAACAATTTTTATTGAAATCACTATAAAATGTGTTATGAAATAATTAGGGTGGTTAATTTTTCGATTTTCTCAGCAAATATAAAAAACTGGGAAAAACAAGAAAATCTGTACATTTAACAAATATTATTATTAAAGAAAATATATAATGCCTATTTAATTATTTTACCATATTATGACATATATATTGTTGACAAAGCATCAACTGAACCCCGTTCAGAATCCTATTTTCGTTAGCAATGGTTTATCATTTACAGGTATACATTAAATTACCTATAACAGTAGCTGCACCCGTCCCCAATATCCTAAGACAGCTTTTTTTTACTTAATGTATATTCAGTAGGTACTCAATGGATAAAATTGTTAGACTAAACAGAAATGCTTGAAAATTTAACAGGAGGTTCATTGTAAGTTATACGTAGTGGTCAACAAGAAAATGTTGAGTTTAATATAATAAAGATATTTTTTTTATAAGACTTTTAATAAGTATCAAATTTTAATAAAAATCGTAAATATTATGGCCTTTTAAACAAGTATAACCAAACTCTGCTCAGTATCGTTTTTCGTTGGCAATGATTCGTTGTATGCCAAACCTAACCTTACGACAAAAAAACAGACCAAACATTTTTTTTTACGGTAACAACACAACAACAGTACTATTATGCAATTATTTTAGCATTCTTATAATGGATTTATAGTTTAATCCCTGTACTATGTAGGTATCTATGGAAACACAGATGAAAAAAAGAAACGCTTTTAGTAGGCCGCACTACGCACTTTCCAACTATTTTATTTTCTCAATAAATTGAAGTCCTGATGCAAAATGCGAACAAAGATAAAAATAATAAAAATTGGTACAACACCGGGTGTAGGACAGCAAGTAATTCATAAAATACTTCTATTAAAAATATATAAAACAGTATTTCTTTCAGAAAAATCATGAACATTGAAGTTTATATAATATCTTTTTAATGTAATTTTAATGGCATGTTTTGTTGTTCATATGGCATATACCTGTTTAATGTATTTCTGTATATATATATATATATATTTAGATAATATTATAATATACAGAGTACATATTTTTAAACTAATTTAATACTGCTATTACAATATTAATAGATCACTGTAAGCATAATATTTAAAATACAAATCAATTTTCAAACATGACCAAAGAAGAATAATTATTTTAAATTGTATTAATCGAGTAGACAATAATTTTTGAATCTGTGGGTTGTGGTTATTGATACTCCAGTGTTTGATTCAATGCAATAGGCGGAGTAGATACTATATGACTATATGCTATAAAATACTATAAGTATTCTATAGACAGTTTCTTGCAGTGGGTTAATCAAATAATTTTGTTCAGTAGAAGGATTTAAATTCTGTACTTGGCCACAGAATAGTGCAGTTTTGGTTGAACGGTTGATAATGTAAAATACAAAAGACCGATTTATATTTACAAGCACTGTTGGTGATTGAGGTGTTGAAAACTACTCAAGAGTTACATAAAAAACTGCAAAATATAATTATATTGTTAATACAAAATTACTTTAAAAAAAATATTAATAATAATATTTATTAAACATGATTTGATCAGCTAAACTTTTAATACAGTGCTTTAAATTGAATATTTGATTTTTACCGTAATTTAAATATTTATAAAATATGCTAATTATGTGTTATTATACTAATATATTGGTAACTTTACAACAATAACTCAATGTTATTATTTTGAGTTTTATATAGAATTCAATTTTGAATGTGATTGACTGTTATAAGTTTGGTTATTAAACAAATTATACTGCAAGATATTTGGAAAATGGACGTATATTAAAGTGAAATTTATGTCCACAATATATAATTAGGTCATATCTATGAAATATTAAAAAAATAAACGTATCAATATTTTATTGGCTAAATATTCACTAAGTTGTTAATGAATAAATACAAAAAACAAAGTTGAAGATAATAATTTTTATATAAATTATTAAATATTATTAAATATTATAATATTTTATACATAGGTAAAAACCAAACCGATTAAATAAAATATAAATATGCTCATATCAAACAAATAGTAACATAACATACAGTTATGTTAATATATTGGAGTATGTTATGATCAATATTCCAATACATATTATTATTTTGAAAATAGTCATAACTCATCAGTAAAGACCGGATTTAATTGCGTTAAAAACACATAAAAATTGCATAAAAAATTGCACTATAAATATTCATAATTTATATAAATTTTTTTAGATAAATGTTACTTTCTTTAATTAAAATGGATAATTAGATACATTTCTCAATTGTATTTATTAAAATTAAATCTTCTATTAATTAAAATATGTTTGTAGAAAGAAAAACTACGTTCTATGTCTGCACAAGTTATTGGTGCATATTTAGAACAATTTAATAAAGTAGGTGTTATATATAAATTAACATTTGCTTTACCTGACATGACTTCATAGTAAGTAAGACTTTAAAGTTTTATACCCTTCATTTTTTTCAATAACATACATACATTTTAATTTAATTTTTTTCCCATTTGGACCAGGAATATTTATTAAAATATTTTCAATTTTTCTAAAAATATCCATGCTTCTCAGTAGTTCACTATTAGATTCTTCTAAATATTTAAGATTCATGGATAACTCAGAAAAGTGTAATTGTATAAATGCTAAACCACATTTGATTGCATTATTTTGTACAAGCTGTTTCAGTTTTTTTCGAGATTTGTAGTATCATCTGTTAAACTTTCAATCGCGTTTTTAAATTCTTTAAAATTATTTCCATAAAAACGTGCAGCATTTAACCATGTTTCACATGTTATAATAATAAGTTCGGGTGTTTAAGGTATACCCGATATTTCTTTTCTATATTTATTTATTCTCAATGGTGCTTTTAGGAAAGCTTTTTTACCTGAAATAAATGAAATAAGTTACATATGTATTTAAATTTTAAATAGGTACTTATTATATTAAAATATTATATTGTTAATCAATTTATTAATGTCGGGATACAATTCTCAAATTTTCTCTAGAACTCTATTAACTGCGTAAGCCATACATGTAATATGAATTAATTTCGGGAAAAATATTTTTAATGTTTTGCTGCTTTCATCATATAAGTAATACTTTTTGTTTAATACCAGGAAATATTTTTAACGAGGAATTAATAAACTGACAAATAGTTTCATGATTGGTGGATTCTAGTTCTTTACATGCAACTAAATATGATTTACTAGGGGTCACATCTAATATACCGATTAATAAATTTGCAATAGCCAAACTTGAAGGAAAATAATATATTTTATAATATGAAAAATTAAAAAATTATTTATACAAACCTCTTGGATTGGTTATTTCGTCAACAATCATGTAAACGTAATTATTTCCAATATCACTACTTATTTGGTCCATAACACTTTTATAAATATTTGGTATGCAATTTTTTCTTAAATTACATTCGTCTGAAATTGATTTGCTAATATGTTTTTCCAAAAATGATTGTAACACACGATTGCCTAGCTTATGCAAAGGAATATTTGCAGCAGCAAATGCATTACATAAATCTTCAAAAAATACATTTTTACTATTTGAATTTTGAGAAGTAATTAACAGTTGTTTTTTTCTTTATTCCTTTGTAGTAAATACCGTAATTTGATCTTAAAACGTCTATCAAAAAAACAGTAAAATATTCAACTCAAATTTATTTTTTAGACTACTAAGTAAAACTTATTATAAAGTCTAGCGGCAAAAAGGTTAGCGGTGAAACAATTGGCAGTGAATTGGTTGTGGCGAATCGGTCCATCAGCGAAGTGTCCTAGACCCAAAAATAACCTTTTGTAATATTGGTCCAAGAATTGATGTATACTCAAAATTAAATTTTGGTAGTACCACTCTTATTGAAAGTGTCTTCATATTTTTTATTGACCATGAGTCAATGATGGTTTTTTTTAATTGAATAAATCATTTAAGTCATCCTTAGAATCAGGCAATATAATATACATAGCAAATTTGTTCCCTTATATATCAGTTAGACAATTAGATTAAAATCAACACACATTCTAACAATGACAACTATGTAGATACACATACAATTAATATAAAATAATAATTATGTGCATATATTTTACCTCATATGGTAAGCTAAATGACCAGGTCTGTAAATTTAATACACTAAAAAAAACTATTAAATATGCATAAAAAGATTCAAATTATGATTATTTAATCAAAAATAACTATGGGAAAACAACTATTAAAATTTTTTATTTTTTTAAAAAACCGGAGAAATTAAAAATGTCTAATATAGGAATAATTTTTATGCACAACAAAAATATAATATTGACCTTTTTAATAACTGTTCTTTTTTTTTTTTTTTTTGTATAATTTTAGTTGACCTGAAAATCCAGTCTAGTCCATTCACTGATAGGTTCATCAGAACTAAGTGGTTGATGAAAATAGACAAATAGATGATTAAGTTCTATAAAATATTAAAAACCTAGCTAGTTACTAAAAGTAACTTTTAAAATATTATAAAAGCCACCAATGACTAAATTAAATTAAGTTTAATTTTTTGGCAATTATCTATAAAAAACATAATACATACACCAAAATAATTTAATATAATTTTTAACATTAGAAATAGTAGTAGTATTTTATAACATTAATTAGTGATACACAAATTACAAATATATTAAGTTTTCAAAAAAAAAAAAATCATTATTACTTGAATAATTTAAATTGTACACATATATATATAAAAAAAATAATCCTAAGTTTCAAATATTTTGAAACAATACCAAAATATTTCAAAAAATCAAAATATTTCAAAAAATCAAAATAAATCATGAACACTCTTTAAAGTTAAAGTTAAATTATTTAAACTATATATAAAAAAAAAATAATAATAATAATAATAAATCTTACAAACTCACAATGTATACAATTATTTTTAAGAACATCAAATCAAAATAAAATACTTTTACGGGTAGCGTGTAAGCGGAATAATCTTAACCTCCACTGATCCAATATGTTAATAAGTTTATGAGAATCTAAAAGTTTTGTTGATTTAGCTAAACAGTATAGAAAATCATACATGTCACTCAGCTTTTCTTCATCTTTGTATAAATCGAGTATAAACACAACATGTTCCAACAATTCAATAACATAACTTAATGTTTCTGGATTTTTTTTAAAATATTTTTTATCCACCAAATCTTGTACAAACCTAGAAAAAAAAATTACAATGTACTTTTGTGTCTTACAATTATATTTTTATTATAAAATGGCAATGATACACATTTAATTACTGATTTATTTTAACAATACAAAAGACTGTTATCAGACGTTTTGTAACTGACGTAGTTATAAGTTGGACCCATAATTAAATGTCCTTAAAAACTCAATTTTATCATAAAGATGTAATATAATTTTTTTTTTTTAAATTTATTATTTTATTAATTTCATAGTTTTTAATTTATTAAAAGAAAGAAAACTGAAATTTGACTGGCTCGCTTTTTTTGGGGAGAGGAGGCTGTATTTATTTATTCTAAACATACCAACAGAATCAATAATAAAAATAAGATTAAGACACATCAAAATTATAGAATAATCCACAATTTGTTTACAAAGAAAAAAACATCTTCAGATAATATTTCGGTTTAGTTCAATTTAAAAATTACTGATTTGAAAAATGCATAAATATTCTTATAAACAACAAAATAAAAGTTTCACCTTTTAAGTATTTGTTACTAATTATACATGTGGAATGTGTACAGGATTACCAAAAATACATTGAAAACCGGGCCCTAGTTATGATTAATATGATTTAAATGCAATTAAAAGCAATCATAATTTTTAAAATATACTTAAAAAATCCATTATTATATCATTAATTAAATAAAAAAAACTTTTATTTTAAGAACTTTAGAAATTCAAAATTTAACATTTAGATTTTCATAATCAGTATCGTATTAAGGAATTTACCATGGAGGAGATATTGAATTTTAAAATTGTATGACATAATATAATGTATACTCGGGTTCAAACTAAAAATCAATTTTTAATTTATAATTTAATCTGCTGTAAAATTATCATTGAAATCAAATAACTAGGTATACCTAAGAAAATAATAATTATTAATTTATAATTTAGGTACCTGCCGAGTACTGATACCTGTATATCATATAGTAAACAAATTGTAAAAGTTATTTGGTTTTGTTTTAAATTTTAAAAAAATGTATAATATATGTTCAAGTTTCTTTATAATATATTAAATATAGGTATCAACACATAAAATATTGATTTTTCAGACTAAAAAGTAAAACAATTTTAATTTAAAAATTTACAGTTTTATATATAATAAAAAAACGGTCAAGAAGGAAGATTTATCTCCTTAATCTCTTCCCATAAATACGCTACTCTTGTAATATTGTATTTTAACTTGTTTTATAATACCAAAGTATGTCTTATTTAAATTCTCAATAAAAAAAAATGAATTGAATTACCATATCATTTTTATAATCTCTTATATTTGGTACTGTTTCACTATGTTTGTTAATCAATTATCTAAGTTTTTGTTTTTGTAATTTATGCTAATAGATAAATAAATAAATATTAAATCTTTTAATATAACAATGTAAAATAATGTATATATTTTTTGTTAATATTATATTTAATAGTAAGAATATAAAAGTCAGGACACTATTTTTGATGAACCGAATACTAGGGTAATGAAACATTAAATAAATTAAAAATTAAAATACCTAAATTATATTAATACATTTTAACCCTTACCAGTCATTAATACTAGTTGGAAATGGATTTTTGTTTTTGGTTTGTTTTAAAAACGACTTGAAAAACTTAAATGTTAAGTAACAATACATTTTTTTCATTACATGGCCTTCTATTGGTAAAAATAAATCTACAACCATCTTCAAAACAATTTCTTCATTATGTCGAGAGATCATTTCTTCAGCAAATGCTATAATGCCAGTATCATTGTCTTCGTGTAAACCTTTTTCAACACAAATACTGAACAATGTTTTTATGGGGTTTAACATTTGTCCGCAATAATAATCAAGCGATATAATGACAACAAACTTTGCTATTGTTAACAAATCATCATTACTAAATACATTATTACTTTTTAACACACTCAAAGAAAAGAATTGGAATACCAATGCAAAATTATGATGGTTAATTAACCCGTGTTTGTTAATAATTTGACATTTTAACAATGGCTTATTAGTGAGTGTATCAAAATCAGTTCCCCAATTCAATAAAATATTTTTGATATCCTGAAAATAAATGTTAACATTAAATTATAATTAATTAATTAATTAATAAGCATTTTTATTTTATTTATTAATATAGATAGAGAAAAATCTGAATTAAACATACATCTATTCCTGGTAACCAATCAGCTTTCATTAAATGAAGAAAATGTGTGTGAGCTACAAATTCATTTTCTTCAATAGACATTGCAAGTAACCTTTGTGACCAAGAGTTTATTTCAAAATTTGAATTAATTTTAATGAAATTATTATACTTGGAGTGGTCAAATATAACATATCCTAATGTTGGTATAGCAGGAGTTATATCTATATCAACATTTTGTTCTATTTCTTTTTGGAACAATTCATCAACAATTTTCATCTCTTCATCAATTTTGGCATTTTTTTCCCAATATTTACTCTCGGCTTGACGTTCTTTTAGAATTGATTTCATGTCAAATTTAAATTCGCATGATTTAGGAACTTTTTTTAATTCGGCCTTCTTAGATTTCATCCCTGGGCATATGTTTCCATCATTAGAATTTGTATTTGAATTTTGTGCTCTAGGCTTCCTAAAGAAATAGAAATATATTAGATTGTTGATTGCAAATTGAAAAGTAATATAAACATATAATACACATTATACATATTATAATTTATCAAAACAACTTAAATAATTCATAAAACAAAAATGAAATGCACCTGAATTAAGGCATTGAAAATGTATACTTTAAAACATTTAATGTAATTGTCTAATTGTAGATACTTATTAGTTCTTCATTATTTTTTGAAAAACTAAATTTTTATAATTAGAATTTTGTAGTAGTCACATTAGAGGAAAATATGTTTAAATTATGTTTTTCAACTTATATTTATGAGTTTTTTTTGTTTTAAATATTTTAAATACATTACTAAATACTTTTTACCTACATTATTTAAATTTTTAAATCATGTACCAATTTAATATTTACTACATTTTGCTACATTAATTTTATATTTAATTACAAAATTCCTTAGGAATGACGCTAGCTAACCTTTCTTTTGTTGTAATATTACCAAACATACTTAATACTATTTTAATTTATCAATATTTTAGTTTTAAGTACTACACTTTTATAATAGTGGTGTCACACGTGATGTTTAGCATTTGGACAGAAACAGAGATGATATCATAATTTTTTTAGTGAGTATACACTTGAGAAAACTTAAAACTTAACACAAGTTATGCATTGATGAAAAAATCAAAAAGTTATTACCTAAATATTGTATTTTGTATACCATCACATATGCTTTACTACATCACTGAATAAGTAGTATGACGTAACCCAAAACAACAAACTTACATTCAATCTAATATTCACTTGTACATCAAACCATATTTTGAATACTATAATAGTGTATTAAAATCATGCAAAATTGAAATGGTAGGTTTTAAATTAAATTAAAGTTTAAATATTTGTGAGCAAATTTAAAGAGAAGAATATTGTTTTCAAGAGAATAGTAGACTTATTGGTTATATAAAATATTATCTACCAGAGTAATACATAATTATATTTATTTAAAAAAGAAATAATAAAAATTATAGTTATTGTCAAACAACCAATTTTTTTTAAATTCAATCAAAGACATGGTATTTTTGTGTTTGAAAATATTTACATCTAATAATTAGTTGTTCCATTATTTTTTTTCTTAATTTAATAATCAAGTACTCGGCTAACTTTGGAATTTTTATTTAATTTTTTTAATACATGTAACTACATTTGTATATAACATTGTATAGAAAAACGATTTTGAAAATTTTTATAAGACATATGGTTATAATCAAGCTAAGATTATATTAAGGATTGTTCTCTTCCCTGGTCTCAATGATGGGTTTCCTAAATGATTGGCTAAGTTTAGTTAACTCTTAGAAACGCCCCTTAATTTCGATAAACATAGTCCCATAAAGTGAACCCACTTTAACTATTTGAACCAAATCAAACCTATTAAAACTATCTATTTGGAATCCAAATTTTGAGTTTACCTTGAAAACAATCTTATCAGAATAATACTTGGGTAGCTTAAGCAGGTGACTTCCTGACATTGTATGCCAGAAATTTAAAACTCTACAAGACTATTAAAATCCGACATCATAATTGTAAAAGTATCAGATTCTCTATATTTTTTTAAGGACTAAATTTACATTTTCTAATACCCTTACATAATAGACAAAATTTATTTTAGATTCTATGATGATTACTATTATGAGTTTTTTTTTCTGTATATCAATAACTTTTATACCAGAAATCTTGCTCCTATCATCAATTTTAAATGTGATGGTTTCTAGTAAAAATTATCGTTAACATTTTGTACAGATTTAAAAATTGTATTGTTTTTCTAATTTTATTTTATGATTTAATCATCAACAGCTAATTAATAATATATCTAAATCAAATAAATTTGAATACATAGTTGACATGAGAAAAGTCCTCCCAGTTGTTAGTCAGATCAAAACTAAAAGGAAATCGAACTCAATACTTATTAATTGTACGTGATGATATAGGTATTAATCTTACTTGTTCAAATTTGAAACACTTGGGGAAATACTTTGATTTTTTTCGAATATTTTAAACATTTTTTTTTTTTTTTTGTTCACTGTATTTTACGTACGTTGAAATTAATGAAACTACTTAACAACAAGCATAGGAAAAAAATGAAGAGGACTGTGTGGTATTCGTAAACTTTATAACTTTCGTAGACATTTATTTTGACAAAACATGATATGAAAAATCCGTTTAAAAACAAAGTTACTGGTTAGTGGTTATCGTTTATCCCATTGAAATTATGACTATGGTTTATCCTGATAATAAATTATTACTTCTATTGGTAGAGGGCAGTGTTTTTGAAAATCTCAAAGGAAAACAAATACATTTCTCTCTCCACTCAATCTAAAAAAACAATAAAGAAATATGCAAGAGTACCTACCAAGAAGTAAAAGTAATTAGAAAAATAATATAAAAACGATAAAATAGTTTAAAAAACAAACAGCAGGTTTAAAAGTGTTATTTATAAAAAAGATTGTACCTAATGAAATATTCAGTAAACTCAAGGGATGTTACAACTTACACCTAGAAGAAATACCTAGTAGAAATATGTGTACTAAAGAATCTCAAGTAAAAAAAGATAGGTAGGTAGACTAATCTACTGCATCATATTACATTCTCGAAATAATCGAAAAAGAAAAAAAAATTATTTCTCATTTTCTATCAAAAAAACTATGCAATCACAATCATAACGTTCAAATTTAAATCAAGTTAGATGCAAATATTTTATTTTAAAATCATAGGTATAGGTACATAAATACAAAACCGGATTAAAATTATCGTTGGCCCTAGGCACTAATAACAAAAAAAAATGGTTAACTGAAAATTTTTAGATTTAACACTAATAAGAAGGAGAATAAGTCATCAACATTTTTTTCGTAATCCATAGGCTGCCAAGAGTTACTTTTTTAACATTTTATATGGTTACAATTTTTACAAATCTTAAAAACCAATAAAAAACCATAAAAAATGTATACCATTTTGCATATTTTTTATACCTCTCAACAGTGATTTTTTTTTTAAAAAAATTATTGTTATTGTGTGTATAACGTTGAAACTGAAAATCTGAAATTAAAAATAAAAATATATAGAAACTAGATGAAACTGTGAAAAACATATTAATTACTGTATATAATCACATTAAACCTAGGTACTTACCTAGGTAATATTAAACTTAAATAAATCATATAATTTTTTTAAATATTTATTTAGTTGTTATATATATTATAAATATTATTTATGGGGCTTCTGAAAAAATATCTTTCAAAAAAAAAAACAAAAACAAAAACAACTTATTAGAATATCCAAACAATTAAAGAATTTTAAAATAGGCACTATAGTAAATAACAAATATAAAAATAGCTGACCTAACTTGAGCCATTTTATTCTAATTTTTGTGGAAAATTTGAATTTTATTAATTGTTATTTGGAAAAAAAAGACTTCATAGGTACGCATTTTTTTTATCACTAAGTACAACTATTACAAATGTATCTTGTGTTAAATTTTCAAGCATTTATGTTCGGTCAAACAATTCTATCTACATAAAATCCTATAATAAAATGCCAAATAAAACAACATAAATGAAAACACAATAAATGTCAAATGTCTATAAATAGCTCAATAATTTAAATATTATGTAGCAATTTTAGGTCTCGTCGATTATTTTTAACCGAAATGAAACAAAATCAAAAATAAGAAAACCGTTATTTCAGTAAACTTTTACGCTTTTTTCAAGTTATTGAGATAACTACCCATAAAAATAAAACAATCCACGACAGTATATGTATAAATCATTATTTTTCTCAGAATAGATGCTACACATAAAGTTTGAAGCAAGTAGATTTCTGGTACCTATATAGGAAAACCAAATCGAAAATAATGAAACTTTCATTGTCATAAAAATGTCCAATAATTTTTTTTCTTCTAGATTATGATGAAAAGTGCTGAGGAAATTAAAAAAAAATAAACCTCTTGAATGAACCAATTAGATCCAAATACTTCTCTTGTTATTTTTTGATTGGAATGATTTCTGGTAGAAAAGTTGTTTATGAAAAAAAAAAAAAAAAAAATGACAGTTAAAACAAATGTATTGAAATTTGAATTTGAAAAATGTCTCAACTAGACGAGTATTTTCTCAAAAATGAGTTGGTACTCGCCAACTTTAGAACTTTGTATTCACTGCAGCCTATATTAAGGATAACTTTGTACCTATCTCTTTAATTCGTCCAAAACTGAAAAAAAATTTAAGGGTAGAATAAATAAATAGAGTATAATGAAATTAAAATAAAATTTATAGTTTAAAATATTTGTCTATTATATATTACAATGTTCTTAAGATCTAAGCAAAGTTTTTAATCTAAAAACCTTGCTTAAGATCTACGTAGATACATCACAGTGGCGTAATTTGGACCGCGCAGGGTATACATGTGCGTAGTAAAAATCCAATATTATAATTTCGCCCACTTTATAAATTGATTGGCCTGAATAATTGTTAGTGGCTTGCGCTTAACTGGTCAATATATTTTATTTTTTAACAAACTTCACATATTTTAATATAAATAAAGCAAAAATTCCTTTTGAATTCCAATCAGCAAAATCTTTGTAAAAACAATTCGATCATATTAACTTCAAAACAATTATTATTACTTCATTGAAACTATTTTCTTCCTTCTGTATTTTCCGAAACTCTCAAAATACTTTCAATAATTTTCACTTAACCCAATACAACAACTTCTAATGAAAGATTTTTCTCGTCTTTAAAAAGAGTAAAAAGCTTTTTGCACTTGACAATGGATGATGACAGATTTAATAATTTAATGGTTATCAACGTAGAATCAGATACTGCGCACAATTTTGATATAGATGAAGCTGTAAATAAGTTTGCAAACGTGAAGATGCGTCGGTCTCCTCTTAAATATTAACAAACAATATATTTATAACTATACCTAATAAACGCTATTATACATTATTTATTATAACCTCTCGCTTTACTGCTTATTTTAGTCATATGACTCAGTTTTTCCTAACGCCTAGAAAAACTATTGAGAAAAGAGAAAAATGACTTTTAAGAACTATTTACACACAGTTTTCATAGAATTGCTAGATCAAACTTTTGGACCACTATTACTACCCAAAAAACTGTTTGCAAAAAAGAAAAAAAAAAAGATAATAAATAAAAATAAACATTATTGTTCACTCGAAACCTATAAAAAAAAAAGGTTTCAGTTAATTATTTTGTGCTTTATTTATCGTAAATATAATAACACCCACTATTAGATGGATTAGTAGAATTATTGTTGAAAAATATTTGGATTATTTTATTTTTGTTTTGTTGAAAATTCTACATAAGCTTAGTGGCCTGCTCAAATGCAACGAAATGCGTATTAAAAAAAAATATATATATAGATAGGTAAATTACTAAACTAGATGAATTAGCAAAAAAATGTTTATACCACTAATTACTCCGCGATGTGCGCGATAGTGGTCATACTGTTTAACATATGAAACATAGTAATTTTTCAGCTGATAGTGTTGTATGATATCACAGTATCACCTTCACAGTTCGCTAGAAAATATCGCGATTTATTTTCACTCTACTTTTTCGAACTTTTTTTGAAAGTAATTTTTCATCTATTAACCTCCTAGACATCCATACACAGGTAAATATAAAGAACAATTAGGTTTTATTTTATGCATTTTTTATAATGCGTGTACATTTTAAAAAGTTTATATTATTTATGTAAAAATATAAGTATATGCGTTCATGAGACTAATTTTTATCTATTTATGAAATTTGAAGGATTTTCTCATGATTTTATTTAAATGTATAAAAGTCATTCTGAAGAATTTTTTTTTTTAGTTCAATTTTTCATAAACTCTGATGTATTAGTATTTTACAATATCAATTTTTTTTTTAAATTCATTTAAGACAAACATATTGTCTAAAGAATTTGAAATTATATATTATATTGATTAAAAAGAAATATAATTAAAATACAAATCTTTAATAATTGGATATATTTTATTTTATACTAATATTTATGTGTATATATATATATATATATATATATATATTAATAAGAAAAAGAAAACATTAGAAAAAGTCTTCAGGGAGAGTCATTGTGGAGATAACTGAGTACAATTGGATATTTGTAAGAGCAATATCATGTATGGGTATGAAACGTGGACATTACGAAAAGCTGAACAAAACAAAATTTTGATCTTCGAAAGAAAGGTATTTCGAAGAATTTTCGGACCATATTTAGATGAAATCACAAGAGAATGGAGAATTCGGAAAAATGAAGAACTTAGACAATTTTATTAAAGGCCTGATATTATTAGTTAATCAAAGATAAAGATACTCAAATGGGCAGCACTTGAGTGAAGAAAAGAGGGAACATTAGTTCGGCTGGTTCAATGTGGTACACCTAAAGGGAAAAGACCTTTGGGGCGAACACAATTAAGGTAAGAGGACTAAGTAAAAAAAGATGTAGAAAGGATTGAGTCGAACTGCGATTGGCATTTTTAGACGATGGATAAAAGAAAGTGACAAGAATTTTGTATGACAGTATGATCTTAATGATCGAATACGAAGAATAAGTGTATTTTGTCTCCATCAAAGAAATTGGTGGAAGTTTTGAACTTAGAAGTCATTAAAACATTAAAAGAATTAATTTTTTGAAATCTAATAAAAACTAATTTATGTAACTTAGATAAACTATTAGTGTCGTGAACTAATTTTGAATCGATATATTAACTTTATATTATTTTATTATTTAAATTTGACTGCGGTAATAATTATATCCGAAATCAAATATTCTAGTTAATATTATTGACAAAATGTCCTTATACTAGGTTTTTTTTGATTAAAATTATAATGTAATATCTAAACAGAATATAGGTATATATGGTAAAACATGCTGTCAGTTCAAAAAAATAATTTATTTTCTAGGTAATAACCATGTCTGTATTAAACACAATTTACCAAACAATTTTAAAGAGGCCGTCTCGATTCTTTGCTGTCGTCGCAGTTAGTTCTTTGTTCTTTGAAAGAACTGTGGACATAGGTTGTGAAAACTTGTATGATTATTTGAATCGTGGAGTAAGTTGTTTCCTATACATTTTTTGTTGATGTGTAATTAAAATGCGAAATTAATCAATTTTTTTGTAGCAACCAGGACTAAATATTGGACAATTTTTTATTGAATTTCATTCAGAACCTTTATATAGAATATCCAACATTCTATACAAAAATAAACATATTCACTTAATATTATGCAATTCAATTTAATTCTATTTAATTTATTGACTGTGTAAAAGGTCTAGAGTATGTCGATAATATTCATAGTTTTAATTGAAGTGAGATTGTTTAATTAACAGGTCAATACTTTTGTTAGTTATTAATTTTCCTATGGTCATTTATTAATCTGGATCATAACTATCATGAATTAAAAACATTTTATCTTTATGTCCCATTCTTCCTCAGCAATGTGTATATTATTATGTAGTTAAGGCTCTTATTTTAAATAATTGATATTTAATGAACATATTTTTTTTGTAGAAACAATGGAAAGATATTGCTGCTAAATACGAGTAAACAAATGAACTATGAATACCACTTACTTGGCTATAGTATGTAGAGCTGTTATTGATAATTTATACTTTGCAATTGTAAAACAACTAAATGCTAATTAGAATGTAATTAATTAAGCAAATAAAGTTTTTTTTTTTTAAATGCAATTAATTCATTACACTGTCTTACAATCTTTAAAAACTACATAAAAGGGTTTATATTTTGTATTAAACTAAAAAATGTAGAATGTAAACAATAAATTAATTGCTAAAAACCTAGTTGTAAAATTTCCTTTCACAACCAGTGTTGAATCCAGGTAAATTACGGGGGGGGGGGATAGCTTCCTGAAATTTTATTTGTTCTTCCCTTGTTAAATTAATTAAATAATAAAACAATTTTGACTAAGAGGGTAGATATGCAAAAAAAAGTCATTACTTTAATTTTTAATAGAAAAAGTAAAATATTTCTGTCATTTTTGTTTTTTAAATTTATATTCTGTAAATAAAACAGTAAAAAATGTATAGTACATATTATGATAATTTATTTTAAATTTTTATTCAGAACTTGCTGTCCACTCATATGCAAATTTCTTTTTACTTTAATTCCTATTTTGCTTTGCCCGTATCAGTATATTGAATGAAAAAAAATAAGTGAGGGAGGTGTAAATAAAAATAATAATAATTGTATACAACTCAATTTATCTATAAGGGCAAACCCATAATAAGTTATAAGTGCAAGATTCTCACCTCTACAGAAGTGGAGGGTTTCCAGATAGAAGTTCCTAGATAAAATAAAAACAAAATAAATAATTAAACATTGTTAGGTGAAACAATACCTTACCTTATTATTAACAAAAATATTAAAATTGATAATTAACTAATAATGATAAAAAATAAAAAAATGTATTCATAAATAAGAAAATAGTTGTATTGTGTAATTGACTAAACAAAATTTAGTTGTCTAAAGAAATCATGTCGTAAATTTACATTATTTCTTAAATTAGTAAGGTCATTAGTATGCACCACATAAGGCAGGCATGTTAAATGCACGCCATTTTGAAAGATGTTTGATAGTTTTGACAATAAAATTTGGTCAAATTGTATACACTTGTTTTAAATTAGTGAATCGTATTCTTTAGAAAATTATTCTCAAACATAACATAATATACAACAATATTGAATCAAAAACATTTAATTTTGAAATAAATTATTTGACTTGTTGATGGTTATGGTTATCAAAATTGGTTATAAAAATTTAATAACAGTATTCAATAGGTAATTTTATAAGGAAAATTGAAGGTAAATGATGGAATCCTAAATATTTTGCATACAAGAATTTAATTATGGATGTTTAATTTGCAATGTAGATAAACAAAATTGTTAATTTATTGAAAAATGTTGCCGCAGAGTGCAAAAGACAATGCCAATTATTCAAGAAATATATTAATGCAAAAGGCTATACTAACAAAGGTCATTGACTAGAAAATATGATTATTTTATTTACACTCTAAGCACCAACTGAATATTGATTAACAGGTTTAAAAAAAATATTAGTCAACAATTGTATTTGAGTACTAAATGAAATAACAAAATATATATTAAAACATTTAACAATAGTAATAATATTAATAATAATAATAATAATGTAATAATGGAAGACTGATAACAATAGTAAAAATATTTTATTTTTCTATAACATTATAGGACCAGTTTAATAGTATTAGAGATGGGTAGAATTTCATTATTATCCAGAACAGAATCTATTTTGATCAATTTGTTAAAATTAAGTCTCATTTAAACTTAAAAATATATATATTTTTTATAATAAAATAATAATTAATTTGACCACCCTCATGTCTATTTTTCTGCATTATTTTCAGATAATAGTTATTTATAAAAAATAAATTGATTTGAATATAATATAATTAGGTATATAAAAGTAATATTCGGATCTGTGTAAATTATGGTTGTGTAGCACTATTAATTCACTTAGTTATCACTGCTATTATTTTATACTTTATAATAACAAAATAGTGAGTCCCCAGAAACACTTATAAGAGTAGTTTTCCATTTGTATTATATAAGCAGTTCTCTAGCTTAAATTATTTGTACAGCTCTTTTGAAGTAATAAACTGTTTTGAGTTCATTAAATTCTAAAATCCAAGGTGTTTGAAAGTCCACCCATCCCTAATTTATATAATAATACTTATTAATAAGTAATAACCTGTTTTCCTTTAGGTAACTTAATATTTTTTAAATACATTGCACAGTTTTAGAAAACATCTGTTTCTCGAGGTCTTTGAATTTCTTTTGTTTTTCGTCTCAGTAACGTTTCTTGTTGTTTATGGTAATATTTAAATGTATCTTCAGGTATTTCCATTTGAATGAGCTAATAATAATGATAATAAAAAAAAAGACAATTTTTATTGTAGATTGAAAAAAAACATTACCTTTTTAATAATTCTCTCTTCTTCTAGTAAATCTACTGGTGGGTTTCTTAAAGCTTCTAAAGTTTCGCACATAGTAGGAAAACGTTTTTTGAGACTAGTATATGATTTTTCTCGTAATGATATTTTAATCAAAATTAAACCCATTTTGAATAGTGTTTTGACACCTAAAACAATTAAAATTAAATACATATAATGAGTTTTTTAAAAAATGATCATAAAAATATATTTACCATCAAATAAAAATACGTCCCAAAATCTCAATAAGGTTGGCCAGGGTAATGTTCTTGTGAAAGCACATAAAAACCATTCAGTCATGTACATAATTGGATCAATACTCTGTTTTCTCTAAAATTCAATACATTAGAAATAATTAGATACTGTAAATATAGTTTGATGTAATGCGGCATACCAAAAGTTTGTATATATGAGGTTCACGTTCCTTTAATAATGAAAAAAGTATGTTACCATCTTGAATCAGTGTTTCCTTAAAAAAATGTAAAATGAGTAATTTACACATTGATAATTACATACATTTCTTTAAAATCATTCACCATTCCTGGACAATAGTAATTACTCAGATAATCATCGCAAATAGCTACGAAACACCAGAAAGCTTGTTCGGCTGGCAAGTGCATTAATAAAAATGCAGCAATTGGTGCTTGTGCTTGACAATATCCAACGTCAGGTTTTAATATTGTATATGCTTTGAGAACATTGAACAACTCTTTTTGGCTACATATATAAAAATATTAATTAATTTAGTAATTAATTGTTACAATTTTGTGATAGAATTATTTATATTCAAAAAGTAATCAAGTATATTAAATTTAAGGGTTTAGCAACAATTACTCATAGTTTAACCCTACCACCTATTTAAAAATTCTAGGAATTCCAATGATATCACTATACTTTTAATTTTCCATTTGTCTCAAGTGAAACCTATGGCCAAAATATTTTCTAATTCACATAATGTAAGTATTATATATTATTCAATTTTAAAAAACAATTTTAAAATTAAAAGAGACCATTGGCAAACTTGTGACATTTATTTAATTAACATTTGTAAATAATTTTACCCAGTTCCATCTTGATTGACAAACATTTCGTGGTAAGGGAACTGTCGATGCAGATCTTTTCTTATGTCCTCAATCCATATACGATCTCCGGTTCGGTCACACAATTCGTAGTAATAATGTTCATTGTTTTGTAACAATTTATTTGCTTTAGTTAAATACAACCAAGCCCGTGGCCTTATTGATTGGGGTATTCCTTTTCGACATCTGTTTTGTACCTATGAATTAATTATTATATATTATAATTCAATAATAAAACTTATTTTCAGTCCAAATTACTTTTTTAAAATTTTTAGCCATATATCTATCCCAATTGGCAGTCATATTAAGCCATTTTTGTTCGCGTTTTTTGGTTGTGTTAGGCGATATTAAGTGTTTCCTACAATCATACAATTTTATTATTAATTCACATGGTAATCAGATATAAAAGTTTTCATTAGAAAGTAAAAATAATTGCATTATTCTTTCATGAGAACAAGTTAAAAAGAAATCGAACACACTTCTCTTTTGTATACTATTACTAGGTAATAGAAACAAAATATAAATAATATTTATCAAACTGCAATGCTGTTGTTATACAATAGCCTTAAATGCAAAATTATACCGAATCAAACAGGAAGTATGGATTGCACACACTAGAGCATACCAAATAGCTAATAACCAAAACAGGATTTAACTTCATTGTCAGTATTCACAGTTACGTTATAAATACCTAATCTAACTGCAATAATATGATTAAACAAATTGGTACTAGTAATCAATCCTTAAATAATTGAAAGAGCAGTTTTATTATGTTTTGTGATGTAGTTTTTATATTGAAGAAATCATTTTAAATATGTTTTGAAGCAAAGAAACTTTTAATAACTGAATTTTAAAACTAAAACTTAGTGTTTTTGATTAAACGGTTTGTGAAAGTTTCACAATGAAAACATTTATAAATATTCAGCAGAGGCCTTAAAATCCTAATATAAATTTTCCAATTACAATTGAATACAAAGCCTGTTCTAACATATTACATTTAGGGTTCTCCTTTTGAGGTATTACATAAATAGCAACAAATATTTAGGTAATTATTATGTTTACAATTTACTATTTTTCTACATTCAATGCAATATATATAATTAGGCAGGTAAGTAATTCAATTTTGAATAAAACTATTTCATTTACAGAACCTAAATCTATAAGACTATAGATTTTCACATTAATGAAAAATGTGTTGATATCTGGCTATTGAGGTAGAAGAAAAATTTAAAATATCGAAAAATGCCAAATGCATATATTCTTTGTGGGCCTCTTCTGATAAATGGCCAGTCATACAATTTTTGATTTTCTCATGCCCCGCCAACAAACAATGGGTTTCGATGTGTACATTCGAGAAATTGGAAAAATTGCATAATTCACAGACGCTGTTTAGCTCTTGGGATCAAAACTAAACATATAAATATCGGAAAATACTATAGTGCTTTTCTATTAGTATAGAGTCCAAATAAAACGCAGAACAATCAGAATTTCAATATTTCAAAATTTTAACCCTTTTCTTCAATGGCATGGCTTTTGGGTAGGTAACGAATAAGTGTTAAAATCTCGTTTATTTTTGCAGGAAATTGAAATGTTAATTCTAAATGGAGAACAGGGCAAGGAAGGGGAATGGAAAATATATGTATTATAAAAGAGATAAAAATTTGTCTAAGATCGCCAATGAGAACTTTTATTAAACCTATCATTCTCTGCAAGAAATGAGAAAATCTGAATTTCAAACACAAAACATTGACAAGATGGGAGGGATGGAAAATATTTGTATTTGGCGTTTCCTGATATTTTGAATTTTTTTTTTTAACAGACTTTAACCAGGGTTAAGTATACCTATAATTATAAATTATTAATTTAAGTGTTAGACAAAATACGAAGTACTGAAGTATTAAGTAAGTAGTAAGTAGTACACCAATTAAACTCCAAAAAAAAAATTAGGTTACATACACAAATATAGGTAGCGTAGAGGAATAAGAATGTAATGAACAAAATATGTGAATTATTATTATTTCATAATATTATTATATTTAATTAAAATAAACCTATTTCTCTGCCTGTTCATGTACTATTTAGGAAAACATAAGGTAACAGGACTTATTTTATCTTTCTACACTAAAATATCTTATGACCCTATGTTTTGTAATGTTTTTTTAGTTGATCGATGAACCACACAATGGACCATTTTTACGTGTTCTAAAGCAATTATTGTTATATTTTGTTTTTTCTCTAATTGCAACTAATGTTATAATATTGTTAACTACTATCTATGTAAAAGTTTAAAAGTGTTTGTTTGTAAAAACAATTAGAAAAAAAAAAAATTAAGAGATAGGTAGTCTAGGAGTAGTAAATATAGCAGAAAAGAACAAAGGCGAATAGATATGGTATGGACATAACGAAAGGTCTAACAATGAGAAAAATAGGTAAATAAAAGCCAGGAAGGGGTAAGGCAAAGAAAAACTGGAAATAGGTTATCGGGTTACAAAGATGCGTGGACATGTAAAATAGAAAAAGAATGGTAATGGATGTGAAGCTGATGTGGAGGGCGAGATAAAAGTAGCTATCCCACTTGTGTGATATAAATGAGATTTGTTTTTATATTGACAATATAAGTCAATATCGAACGTCATCTAGAATATTTAAAATTGTGGCCTATTGAGGTTTTTATAAAGATAATTATATAGATACCTAGATAGTTTCAAAAAAAAAAAAATAGCCTAATTTAAATGTAATAATAGTAAAAGTATGCATTTCCAATTGTCTACAAAAATTGCAATTTGACTTAAGGAAGCGTATTAGTCATTGGCAAAACAATAAATTTATTCAGTGAACTAGAAATCAAAAATAATAAGTTTACAAACAAAATGTCGTATGACTTACGACTCGTGCAGGTATTGGGCTCCACCTAAGAAGCCATGTTTGTCTGGCACAGTAGAAACTACAGAACCGTTGGGTGCCATTGAAGAGCTGGCCTCTGAGTAATTGTCTTCATCTTCGTCGATGTAATCATTTTCCATTTGAGCCAGCGCCGGAGGGCTCACTACTTCGGTGTCTCGTTTCGTATACCTGTTGCCAAAAAGATTGGGCCATTAACACCATGGACGGTACTATTCACAGACAGTGAGCGATGTGTAACGTTCGACATAAAGACCATATGGTTCCCCGAAGAAAAACGAATTAAAACATACGCCCACTAGAAGTGGGTAGTGTCGGTTTACGAAATAATAATAATAATAATAGTACTCGCCTTGAGGTATGCAGCATTGCGTTGTTGTTATTATCGTGCGACTTATCCGCTGTCGCCTTTGCGGGTTTGCACGAACTTTCTTTCATACCATTATGGGTAACAATATTATTGTTGTTGTTGACGCACGCACACGCATAAAGTTGTACGACTGCAGCTCGGTGGACAGTATTATAAAATCACATACCTAGAAAAAAGACCGTGAGCGGCAATTAGCGTCGTTTAATTGGAAACAGACACGACGGACGACAGTGGAAAACTGAGTAAAGAGTAAACAATAAACGCGCGTTATCATGCGAATGATATTGGGTCCGTCAAGGACGACGGCGTCGCCGCCGAAAAATTTGAGCACACGCCGACGATCGGTCGGGGAAGATCGATTAACGAGTGACCAACGAGTTCCGAACGCGGACGACAATCGACAATGATATTGTATTGATACGAGACGACTGTCAACCGAAGGCCCGACGGGCGCGGGGCCGAGGCGATGTCGTTGCGCGCGCATAACGAATTCCAGTGCGGCCCACGGTACGGTCCGAAAATATCCGATGTTTTAAAAATAGACCATACCGCCGAAACTATCAATGGTCGTCGTGCGACTGTTTCGCAGACGTATTATCGCCGTGACGGAACCCTTTGTGTCACGTGTTATTATCATACAGAAATAAACTTGCATTTATCGACAAATACACGACACACGATAACGTAACAATAGTATTTGTAACTAATTACGATAATAATAACTCACTAGACGCCCCGCCACCGTGGACGATAGCGTAATGCTCCTATCTATAAACCCGGCCATTCGTGGTGGTAGCTAATCTATATTATTATAACAATAATAACAGTTTTTTTTTTTTTTTTCTCGACTCGAATGGAAAAGTGAGGTTTAAATAATCCTTTTATACTTAATACAATTGTCAAACGATTCTCTATCGAAAATAATAATTACGAATAATATTGACTTTTTTTGACGATTATAATATTATTGTATTAAAAAAAAGTTTTTTTGGAAGGATAAAAAAGATCGCGCTTTCTTATTCGCATCCTCTCCTGAACTGAGTGTTTACGTCCAAAATTAGTGATTATTAACGATGGGACATTAGAGATTTGCAAAAGTTTGAGCAGGGGCATAATTAGGGAGGGGGGAGTATATGTGGAATAGATTCCCCCATTAGCTGTATTTATGTATGATATTGTTGTTTTATACAAATTGGAAGTTCAAATGGAAATTCTCAAAATTTTTACGAAATTAAAAATATTCAAATGTTATTAGTAGGTACGTACCAAAATATTCCTAGTTCATTATTGTACTAGGTAAGCAATATTTTTAATAGTTGATTTTAAAATAAATGGTAAATTTCACTTTAAGCTGGTTACCCACTACGCGTTTCGAACGTCATTAGGACGCCGTGATTTTAAAAATAAGGACGCTCCATTTAATAGGAAATGTCAGTAATTATAGAATATTATAATATAATAAAGATAGTGACTTGAGTATTAAAAGATTAACTAAACGACAAGTAAATCGAGCAAATTCAGGTTGTAATTTAAGCGTTGAAGACCAAAGTATCACTATTTATACTTTATCTAGATTTTTGTTTATAAAACATCCAGAAGAGAGATTTTCAATCCATGCTGAAATTTTTGAAAGTGTATTTGAAATTATTATAGTAATTTGTATTGTTTTTAATTGGAATAATTTACAGTACAATAATGTTAAAAATGAATCACTCAGGTAAAAGATTTGTATCTATCTATATTATTAAAATTAAAACTTTAATTATTCATGTACACTATGTTACCTACTTTGAATGCGAATAATTCAATTTCTGAATTGAAATTGTGGAAGGCAAAACTTGAATGAACAATATTGCTTACGGGCGTATATTTTCGAAGTAAATAAATATTCCAAAAACCAGAATTGAAACACTGAAAGACTGTAATACCGATATCTTCCCTAGTGTAAAATGTATTCTTAAAATACTATAAATCTGGAAGATAATATAAAATACGTGGGTGTCCGGCACCCTCGGCTCAAAATTCTAAACTGTTAAAACTCATATAAACGTTAAATCTAAATAATTCTGATAACTTATGTACATTCAACACTTTATCGAATCGGTATTGAAAATAAGAGAAGGGGTTTTCATTTGAAAATCAAACGTAAGGTTTAAGGACACCTGTAAGATAAGGTGAATAAACCTTCTTTTTTTTTCGGTATACGGCGTAAAAATATGAAAATGCAGGATGGTAAAGTGTTAAAATAAAGCGGCGTTGGAAAATGCTAAAATAATCACTCTGTAGACAAATTATAGAAGACAAATTTTTATTTTGAACATCAAAAACCGAAATCTGAGCATTATAAATTCCACCATAATATTTTTAGCTACGAGATTATATAATTTATAAAAAATGAAAAGAGTTACTGTTCCCTCTAATTTTTTTTATCCATTACTGTCTTTATAATGTATAGGTACGTATAAAACAAATTTGAACCTATTATTATAATATTATTATTGTATTATTATTGCACGACAATAGATTTACTTTCGTTTCAATTCATCGGGATACCTCTCTTATCCCCGGGTGGTTGATTTCAATATTCGGTTATGAATAGAACAACGAGTCCATTAAATTGACATCGGTGATGATACATAACCGTACAGCGTATTTTAATGTTATTATTAAACTTAAAAAATAATAATTTGAAGTACAACAATAAAATAAAATCGCAGACAATACCCGAAATTCACACCGGTTAGGTTAGAAATTAAATGATGAAGTCTATAAAATCATCTACAACAAAAAAAAAGATTTTTTTAAAACAAATTTCAAAAATCTACAAAAACCAGCAACATCTAATACATTTAATATAATTTAGTAAGGTATTGCGATTATCAAATTTAGACCGGCAATTTTCCGGCAATCAGTCTGATTGACGTAACGAAATGATAATAATTCTGAAAACTGCAGATTTGAATTCAGCGTAAAGTGTACATGAGATGAATCAGGCAACTTTATCGAATTTTAATCCTTAATTTCATTTTTATGACTAAACTTAATTTTAAATCATTAGTTATTGCTTCACTACATTGACCGGACTATAGTTTTTATTTTAATTATTTTTAGATTTTATTTCCAGACTATACATAGTTTCCGGCAATGTTTAAATTGCTAGAAAATTGGTCCGAATTTTGATGCTGAGTATAATATGTTAGACAGGGAAAAAATATCGGTTTTCATTTATTTCAATCCCATTAGTAATCATTTTAAAATACTAGTATTTTAATTTTTTTTTACCAAATCCGCCTGTCCTTCCCCTATGAATTTCTGTCACAATTTTATATAATTATTACAAAAATATTTAAAAAAAAGTACAATAAATACCTAATCTACCGTTTTTTCGATTAACGTATACACCGAAAAAGAGAATCTTATCATTGATTTTGTAATAGTATTTTATAAAATCATTGATAATATTATTTCGAAACAATTCCGGTATAGGTAAAGAATAATAGAATAATATTCAGGTAACTGGGTAGGTATTTACGGATTATTACAAAAACCGTTAGCTTATTTGCTCACATCAGCGTTGTGATAAATTTAAAAAAAATGATAAATATAAAAATGCTATCGATCATCTACAGAAAATGTATGTAGTATTAAATGATGAATCGAAAATGACACATTTTCCTATTACGCCAATTCAGCCCTACATTAACGCAATTTTGATCATAGAAACGACGTAATGCAAAACCATAATGTAATATCGATTACAATTTTTTTATTATTATATTATGTACCCCAACCCCGGTGTTTCAGAAACCATTTTATAATTCAAATATTTCCAATAGTGCCACAGACGTGTAGAACATCTCGTACACTAAACGTTATTTACCATTTTTATTCGTTGGTAAGTATTTTTGTTATTATTTTTACCTATTATAGATAGGTACTTAAACGTCTTCAACTATAGTACTCTCTAGAGAGCCTTTAATCAAAGACTACTGGTGTCGTCATTTCTCAATGGTTTCCGTTATCAATGATATAATTTCGTCAAAACAATATTATCAATAATTATTTGAATGTTATTCTGAAAATTGTCGATGATCTATGTTTATGTTATGGTATTTGCATTCGTTTTTTCAACTAATCATGAGCCTATAAAGAGTTGCAGTACATTTGAATTATTTAAATACGGTTTACAGGACTTTTGTAATTTCAATTACCTATATGTGTATATTGATTATAGATAGTTGATGTAATTCTCTAATTACAGTTTCCGTAAAACAGTAGAAAAAAACTTCAGTGGGGGAGAAATGCTCCTATTGCCCTCCCCTCAAATACGTCACTGCCCCAAAGAGATCAAGAACTCAGCGTTTTTTTCTTTGTGACAATAAATTGTTACACACAATACTAATTAATGCAAAATATCACGTGTGAAACATCCTACATTATGAATAATAGTTCGTTTATTATTAATGTTAAATTTTAATAAAATTGTGTGATATAGTAAATACATGTATATTAACTACCATTTTTATATTTTAAACAAATATTCATATCTTCCCTCAAAGAAAGGTTCTAGTTACTCCACAAATTACACAACCTGGCGACGTCCACATTCATTGATAAAAGGTCCGGTGACCACTCTTTGACCAATCTTTGATTATAGACTCTATTTTATTTTGTAGTACTTACTTTAGTATCAGTAGTGTGCTCAGTGATTTTTAACGGAAAGGGATGTATACTATATCACGTATTTAATAATAATCATGGTTCATGAAAAAATCATGGAATCTATTTCCGTTTTATCAAGCAATTAAAATTTAAAAGCCGGATCTAATAAAACCAATTTTTTTTTCTTCAATAAATCAAGCTTATTTTTTTTTGCAACTTGACTGAAATATATGTGTAATTTCAAAACAAAATGATTAAATAAATATTCATGATTGTTGTATTTTTAATCCAATGGTGGGAACTATAACCCCTAGTCTCCACCTCTTCATAAGTCACTGTAAAGTATCTATGCATAGGGCTGGAGGTATTTCATATCTTCAACACCGGTATTCGGTATATATTTACAGTTAATCGGTTATAAACTATATACCGAATGGTCTGTAATTACCACATCAACTTACCAATTCTACGGTATTTGAGATAATTAAAATTATAAAAATAAGTAAACTCCGCAGTTCGCACCATTAGCGGGCCACTGTTTTGGGTAGAAAGTTGGGAAGGTAAGTTTAGAAGACAGGGATTTAGTTTGATTACTGTAATCAGTCAAGGGCGTCACCAGAACTTCACTATGGGGGTGGAGGGGAGGGCGAAATAATTAAATTAATGATTGATAAGACATACTTCACATGATGGGTGGACCACTGTTATAGATGAGAAATTGGGAAGGTAGAATATTGAGGGAAATTTAATGTATATCTATATATATATATATAAGCAAATTTAAGCATTGTCAACAAAAACGATTCTGAGCGTAGCTCGGTTAATAGTATTACTCAGAGGCACCTTCGGGTAAATTACATAGGGAGAGGGGGTGAACAATTTTTACTGTTGAATACTACCACTTTGGTCAAAAAAAACTTAAAACCTTAATGTAAGATGTAATTTCAACTTAAATTTACTTAGAAGACTGCAGATATATTGTACAAATGCAGTAAAATAGTACAATTTAAAAGTTAAATTAATTTTTTTCACATTAAATAAATAATAATTGAAATAATGATAGTATAAATAATAAAAATAATAACAGTATTTAATAAAAGTTAGATGACCAATTGAAATTAATAAAAGCATTATTTTCGTAAATTTCCCAGTTTTTCTTACGTTTTATCCTGATTTTTATGATATTATGAAAACTGCTTGGAAAATCAAAAAATGACTTTTCTAAAATACCATTTAGTCAATATGACAATATTTTCTTTCAAAAAAGGTGCTACACTTACATATTGAAGCAAGATTTTTGGTAGACATTTTTATCACAGTATAAAAACAAAAAAAAACATCATTATAAATCTAATAGGTACATTATTCGCTTCATTCAGAATCTAAAATTTAAATTAAATTAATTATTTCCAATTTTGATTTTAAAAATATATCATTTTATTATATCTTTGCAAATTAATTGTTCCCACTTTGTTTTCCATAATTCTATCTCACCCTTGAGAGAATATTTATTGAAATTTATTAATGAGAAGTGTGTTTTATTTTTATTTCAATCAAAGTATTTCCGAGATCCGGAATTATCTTGATGGCATTTGGAACCAGTTGTCTTAGTGGGGTTAAATTCGTCAAACATTGCACATTTTTTTAAATTTTTTTATATAAAAACTAAAGTCCAGAAAAAATTTCAAATAAATCATCATCGAACGAAAAACCGCATCTGTTAAGTTTCGTAGTAGATAATTTAAAATATTCTGGAATATTCGAGAAACCTAATTATTATCTAGTTATTTAATCTTTATATTTATGAATTTGTATTTTCCCAATTTTTCTAATTTTTGATATGTTTTCGACGATATTTAATTATACTAATGATATGTGGAATTGGATTCGGATTCGGATTGATATATTCCCCGACAATCACGTAAATAGGTATTTATACAAGGTGATTCAAAATTTATGTTACAGCTATTTCACAATGCAAATATTCAAAATAAAGAAAAAATGTATTGTATAAAAATATTTCGAAATATTCTATTTTTTAGTTTAAGTAGGGGGAGAGTAGTGGAACATAATGCGCTTATGTAGTGGCACGGGCACGGCTCGCGGTGCAGCGTTTATATATTATTCCACTACTCTCCTCCGACCTAAACTAAAAATTGGAATATCTTGTCATCGGTTGACGGAAATCAGAAATTTCAATACTTAATTATATTTAAACTAATATTCCATCTATTTGTGGAATTTTGAATATAGTTGTCTATATGAATTATAAAAGTTCATCCCGAAAACGATCAAATTGCTACAACATACATTTTGAATCACTTTGTGTACTGCAGTTTAGAATTTATTTAAAACCCATAACTTGAACGAGTCGTATTATTTAATTTTAATGAATGATAGTATTTGTTTATAATTTTGATAATATTTTATATTTAGAAGCGTCATTATTGATGTCAATAATAATAATTTATGGTCGTATTAATACAAACAAGATTATCAATAAAACCACTACAGAAAAATAATTAAAAACAATTCAGTACACATTGTGGTATTTATAAAATCTGAAATTGTTTATGTGGACAAAATTATAAATATAAAGACGGAGGAAGACAGACTGATCAACATTTATGTATGAACATCGATTATCGACTGACCCGCGTATTATTATACGGTATTCATGTTTTATTAAATATTACTGCAAGCAATCTATTCATTATAAATCGATTACTCGTTCCATTGCCTGTTAAACAATTATTTCAGGTACCTATCTATATTTTAGGAAGTGTAATTTATTCAACAAAGTTTCATCACAACGTGCTGAACAGTAGGATACAGCAATGGCTTCAAAAAGGTTGTAAGTATAAACATTTAAGTATAATAAGATAATAATGTAAAGGTCTGATATTGGAGAATAGAAGTGCCACTGTTGAAGGATGGAAGTACGGAAGTAAGGTGGTAGGAAACACAAAGTTATTTGATTTATATCCATACTTAATGATTAACCATTACTAAAGAAAAACGACTAAGTACGAATTCGGTTATACATGTTTTGAATTGCCGCATTTTATACGATTTTCGTATAAATTTGATATCGAAAAAGGATTATAAATAATATTACATACACCATTACGTTCATTTCTTTTCCACTAAGTGTAAATTATAAATAATAATTATCAAATATTACTCGTACAATAAATTGAATCCTAATATGGCATACATATTGTTGGCAAAGCAATGTTATCAATTGAACTCTGCTTAGAGTCGTTTTTTTTTTTGTTAGAAATGGTTAATTGTTGCTTAACTAAAACAGTTGCTGCACCCACTTGCCATGATGCCCGGCTTTTTTTAATAATTAAATTTACCTATAGTTCAGATTTGTTTGATTTATTAACTTAGTATCAACACATTTTTGATTTTTTTTTACTAAAAACGTAATAAATTAAAATTTGAAAAACGGGTATTCATATAAATAATAATTATAAAACCAATTTTAAGGAAGAGATATATCCCCGATTTCCCTAATTTGCTCTTTATATACACCATTGCCATACATATTTATTTACGGACAATAAATTCTATTAAGTATAAAGTAATTGACTAATTAAATAAAATTTTATTTAGACAATTTTCTAAAGTAACACAATTGAAACTGGGAAATAAAATTTTAGAAGATTATGAAAGGGAAAACTGGAACCCGGAAATGAAAGAAATTCATTCAATGTTAAAACAATCAGACTTTAAGGTAAGTGCCTATCTATTAAGTGTAGATCAATATTTATTGGATAATGTATTAATATTAAAAGAAACTTTTAATCAGCTTCCATATTTTTTAAACTTAATTAAAATTTAAAACAATAAATTAAAATATCACTAAAGTTTTATCAAATATACATTAGAAATTTATATCTATCATTAACTATTTATTTTATTTTGATAAGTGTTATAATATATACTTAATCCATAAAATCATCATATTTAGGAAACAATGTTTTCTTTTAATATATACATTAATATATTCTAGTAAAATTTTTTCTTTGTTTGTGATCATAGTTAGATTATTCAATACTTAAGATAAATTTAGATATACTAAGTTATACTTATTGAATAATAGCAAAATAACAAAAGTTGGGTAAATTAGTGAAAATAATTAATTGTGGCAAGTTAAGTTAATTCAAATGCCTTCAGTCAAAATTAATTTATAGCTATCATAAACTATCTATTTTATTTTTATAAAAGTGTTATATAGCTAAAGTCTATAAAATCATCATATTTAAGAAAAAATATTTTCTTATATACATTATATATTCTTGTAAAATTGTTTGTGATTATACTATCATAGTTTGATGATACCTAAGATAAATTTGGGTATACTTGTTGAATAATAGCAAAATAAAATATGCATGAAATTTGGGTACGTAATACTTAATTCACTTATAAGTAAATATAAATAATTTTACAGTATAAAATTGGGTATTTTCGTACATATAATATGTATTTTATACAGTACCTACTATATAATATGTACTACATATAATATGATGGATGGGACACTGTTGTAGGTTTGATGTTTGGAAGGTAGTATATAGAGAGGAATTTAATGTATATTTGTATGCAACGATTTCCATCAAAATTTGATATTTAAATTCTTTTTTAAAAAAATACTACATTAAACTCTACTTTTTCTTATTAGCCAATGACCACGAAATATAACTTATAATGAACTTACTATTAAATTTTCAAGAACTTTTGCTTCAATCCATTTTATCTACAGTGTAAGTACCTTTAAGTACAGTAAAAAGAGCTTGTAAGAGGTACAAAGTACGGTAAAAATTTACAAAATTAAAATGTTTATAAATAGCTTGGTTTTGAATATTTGAATATTATTTTTATTCTCCAAACGTTTTTTTCCAATTATTATGAAAACTGCTTAGGAAATTAAAAAATAACCTCCTCAAAGTACCAGCTAAATAAAATTCCTTTTCAGAAAAAGTACTGCACCTAATATATCTAAGCAAGATTTCTGGCCTCACTCGGGTCTCAGAATTTAAAACTAAAAATGACTAGAAGTAAATAGGTATGTACAATAAAAAAATCATACAGAGTATGATTTGATTTCAGGTTTTGGATGTAGAAAAAATAAATAATCCATATTTGTACGGTATGTACTTATTACATAAAGAAGAAATGATAAAGAACTCAAAAATAGTAATAGAAGATTTACTATATCATTGTACTTCACCATCGAATGGGCTAAAAATTGCCAGTAAAAACATCGATTGGCGGTTAACTTGTCGCACACGCTTTGGACAAGGGGCGTGTTTTTCAAAATCTCCTCGATATGCACATACGCATGCTGGTTCAGATGGAGGTAAACAAATTATTTAAACTTTTTAATTATTACTAATTTGTAATATATTTTTATTTTGTATACTTCTTTAGTTTTTGTTGTTTGCAAAGTTTTGATGAGTGTAATACAGAACTTATATCTGGCGAATTACAATTTAAAGATACCCAGTGATGGTTATGATACAACTTTGGGAAATAATGGTCAAGTATATGTTAAATATGATGATTTTACATTTTATCCTAAATATATTATCTATTATAAATAAGTTTTATTAATATGCTAACAGATAACAATAAAGTTTTATCTTATTTAAAAATTATCAGTATCTTCCTATATAATAATTTTTTAATTTTTTTGAAAACTTATGCTTTATAATAGGTACATTTAATATTTAATTATTCTAATGTATATTTAATTTTATAATTCAAATTAATATTAATTTTAATTAAATGTATAGTTAAATCATTTTGTTTACATTAATCAAACAATATATAGGTATTTTAACAGAAATATTAAATTAATAATATTTTAAATTTAACAAATATACGTTATACTAGAAAAAAATAATATATCGGGAACTTTTTATAAGATTTAAAATATAATATTTGTTGTTTTTTTTTTTGTACATTTTAAAACTATTTTAGTGCAGGCCTGTACTGACTCACCGGGCAGATATGTGATATGCCCTATCATATACTGTGTCTTTCAAAAAGTTATGATTAATTGTATTGTTATACCTACATTTTTGGGTAAATATTAATACAGAAGAGTAGGTATAATATTAACAAATTGTTGAAAATCCAGAAGTAAGTTACTGATGCATGCCTAATGATGCATTGCATGGTTATATATTTGACATTAACTATTGCATTTTATGAAAAAGTTATATTGTGACTTATTATAATCAGAATACTATTTCAATACCCAGCGACCACTGCCAATGAGTATCGTCACGAAGGACAAACTTATTTTTAGATTATTATTTTTCAAAACTTATACAAAATGATAAATTATAAGTCAGAATCTCTCCAAAAAAAAAAAAAATTGTATCTAATCGGAATAATATTTCCCAAAGGAAAGCTAGTCTACGCTTTATTTTGTTCACTGTTAACGGGCATCAACCCTCTAGCACTTACGATAGTATATTAATAGTATATCGGTGATAAATACCTACATTTTAATAATTACCTTGCTGATTTAAACATAATTTGTATTTTTATAGGTTCTGAGTGATGGGAAGAAGTTTATGGTTTTACAAAAATATTGATTAATTTTTTTTTTTCTGTGAATAACTTTTCTACCAGAGATCTTGCTCCAATTTAAGTGTAACGCCTTTTCTGAAAGGAAATCCTGATTTTTCAAAGAGTTCCCAACAAATATTATCAAAAAAAATATACAATGCCTATTTAAATATTTTACCATAATATGACACATATATTGTTGACAAAGCAATGCAATCAACTGAACTCCGCTCAACATCGTTTTTTTGTTACCATTGGTTAATCGTTTTTTACAGATAGGTATAATTCCCTTATGTATCCCACCTCTCACCTACAGCAGTGGCTGCACCCGTCCCCATTATTCTAGAACAGCCCTTTTTTTCTGAATGTTTTAAAACGCTGATTTATGAAGCAAATAATTTGCTTCATAAATCAAAGAACTTAAAAAAATTAAATTTGTATTATGGGCTTCAAATTCTCGAGTGTATAACGATGAAATTATTAGGGCCTACGCATACGGGAATACTCTAAAGAAACTGAAATCGCCTAGATACTAGGTGATTAGCAGCTAATAAATGGACAACTGAAGTTGCAAGTTATCTTCACATACAGTATTCTAAATTAGTATTGCCTCACGATTTCGACAGCATAGTTTCATATTTTTCAGTTTTTTGTACAGTACGTGTATATTACTCTAAGCAATATTATCTATTATTATTATCTTGTAAGCAAAAATGCCGTAAGTCGTTTTCGACAACGTTTTTTTAAGAACTAGTTTTTAAATTCTACATTTTTTACAATTTATAATACCTATTACAATTTTTCTTATCAAAGAATGATATAGATTTTCATATGGTATTTTACCTGATAATTATAATGGATTGAAAATAAATGAAATATGTAATTAACTTTTAACATTGATCCTTAGTATTGGTTTATATAACTGTACTGAATAGATTCGTGAATAGAATCCACGGATAATCGTATAAATAACTAACAAACAACTGATATTGTAACTTTCGTAAAGTTTCTATATTATTATATTAACTTATATATATATTAGTTATATTTTGATCATTTATTAATTACAATATTATACGATAAGCAGTGGCGGCTCGTGGGTTTTTAATGAAGTAGTGCACACCCAAAAAAAAAAAAAAAAATATATCCAATATTAAACATAATATATTATAAATCGTATTAAATAATTGTTTAAAAGCTTTAGTTATTTACCAATTACCTTTTATTCTTATTTCCATTCTTTACCCAAGCGACATCATTAAATTTTTTACCAAAAAGTAAACGGGGAAAACAATGCAAACGATTAGTTTCTGAACAACCACGAATCCAGTCGTAGGTTTTATATATATTATTATTAAATTTTCTTACATATTCTCTCGTTTTACATTTAGTAATTTGTTTAATATTTAAGTCTGGAGTAGGCCTACCTTTATTTTTTATTTCCATCTTTTTCTCCAACGAGATTGTTGAAAAATTGCATTGCAGTATTTTCTGTACTGAATTCATTTTAAAAATTGAAAACAAATACACGAATAATAATAAACGTAATGTCGGTCGTCGATAGAAAACGGAAACGCGATTGTTGTTTTGAANGATGCCGACGCGCAACGACACGGCGACGTCGAAAATAATTCGCTGATAACAATTTAATTGGTTTTGTGCACAGAAACAAATGTGCACACTAATTCCATTATAACGCGGGTTGCGTGTTTCGGCTTGTTTTTAATTTTTACACTGTACAAATGTGCACAACTCCAACCACTATAATACACGCCGATACTGTTCCGTCGCGGACAACAGTCCGGCTGTTTGGCAATCGAAATAACGCAAACCAAATATTATATTATTTTCATAATGTTCTGAATTTATAATTTTATATTTTGAAAAATAATCTTAATAATACTACAGGTACTTGGTAGTTAGCTGTATTATTATGATTTATATTTTCAATTTTTCTTGAGTTTGGGCAGGTAGTGCACGACGTGCACTTGTGCACATATAAACGAGCCGCCACTGACGATAAGTAAAACCACAATTTGTACTAAGTTTATATATTATCAATCACGGACTAAGATACCTTAGTATATACCTTAGTCCGTGACACGGATATAGATACTAGCTGGTACTATACTAAGTGATTCCTTTAAGTAGGTTCACTCATTATCTCTTGACGAGATTTTCACTTTTAAGTTTAGGTTGAAGGAGAGAAGTGGATCATTATTAACTATTTTCTCGCCGCACGCCGTACTGCCACACAAATGATACTCCATTGCTCTCCTCTAACCTAAACCTAAAAGTGGAATATCTCATCAACGGCTTGACAAATCAAAAATTATGATAAGTTCACAAATTCAGTTTTCACTACACTCTACATCATTCAATTTAAAAACTATTAGTTAGATATGATTTATTTATACTTTGTTAATCAACTATTAACAGTACTAACTATAGAATATAGATTATTACTATGTTAGTATTCATCAATAATGTAAATTACACCGGCTTGTAAACATTGTCAAACCATTCAAACCTGTAATATGACTGTTGGTTTCATGTCTAAGCTTTCATTCATATAGTTAAACAGTATAAATTTGAATTCACAGGTGGTCCATGTCATAAAGATTAGAATAAGGAGATCAAATTCCTTAATAATAATCCAAATTCGTGGTTTTTTTTTTTTTTTATTCTATAGTAGATACTATTAAGTATTAATTACTTTTACTAGTAAATAGTAATATTGTAAAGGGAAAGGCACGGCATTACGTCGACATTCAATACATACTACGATAAAAAACTGGACAGGTTAAATCAAGACTCGACAGAAATAAAAACCCTCGGGTTTTCGCCCATATACTTAGGTTCTGACATCTTTTATCGTATTAAGACCCTCACCTTAATGCTAAATGCATACTGTTGCGTTTGAGAACAACCGTATTTTATCGTTTTACAAATGAAATAATTGAGTTATCTCTTTCCTATCATAAATGCAAGCAGTTGTTTAAAGGTATGATAATTTGATTTTATTTTTCTTTTGTACACAATAGATGCAACATGTAAATATATTTTTACTCCTACTGATAGACAATTGTGTGATCTATTTGTATAATATAATGAATATAATATTCTAAGAATAATGGTCTATTTAATGTTTTTTTTTTTTTTCAAATAGGTACTCTGCAATTGCACCTTTTCCATTTGTATACATTGCTCGTGTATAATTTGTAGAATATTCTACGCATTTTCTGTATAAAATTAGCCAGGTGTACAATTTAAAATATTCTGGAATATTCAAGAAACCTTATATAAACCTAATTATTGCCAACCGTTCTATTTACGATTTTGTATTTTTCGGAGTTTTCTAATTTTGTATGTGTTTTCGACGATTTATGATTTCCGTCTTTTCGATAAGACCCATATTTAGCATCGAAGTAAATAATTCAGACATTTTATATTTTCCAACGGTATTATTGATATTATTAATAATATTAATAGTAGAATTAACACAAACGAAATTATCTATAACCTATTGCAGTAAAACAAAAACAAACAATATAATTCAGTATCTCGGTATATTATTATAAATTAGTAAATAGTACTATCAAAATCTAAAACTGTATATGTACACAAAGTAATAAATATAAGAACAAGGGAATACCGATTAATTATTAGTATTTTTGAAATTTCATCGAATTGCGATTCGAGAGTACACCGGTTCGCGCATACGCGACTGACTACTGAGCGCTGAAGGCTGAACCTGAACGTGTGCCTAGACCCGCTAATTAATTTGATCGAAAACGAGGATCGTACGCCGTCGTTATATAAATCCTGTACGCCGTACGCATAGACATTAAATATGTGGTAGGGCCATGTCTTATGGCTCATATACCTACACGATGCAATGTACGACTGGAGGGAACGCTGGTTACCAAAGTGGTTAGTGGCGTGCCCAAAAATTTTCAATGGGAGGGGATGTAGCGAATGAGAATCGCGAATAGATTATTAAATAACCTTCTCTGCCCAACTATATAGGAATTTAAAAGCCGGACCTAAGCTGATTTCTAATCAATACATGAAGCTTTCCCTCGTACCCCGTGGTTATCGCTACCGCCGCCTTGTACACAGCTAATCGTATTATCTAAATACCTACCGCCAAATAAATCATCTGAATATACACTCGCACGATTAGTTCTTATGAGTTACGACATGCACTTCTTATCAGACTGTTATCAGTTATAGTTTGATTAT